CTATGAACAAAGCCACAGTAAACATGGTTGTGCGTAGACTCTTCCACGTTCTATAGTATTTTACAAAGACATTGTCGCCTAGTGCTGCATAGCATTTCATTGTGTGATTGTACTACATGCTTATGTGCTGTTTTCATTTTCTTGCTGTTGTGAATGAAACTTACATGAACATAAGTTTAATTTCCACATTCTGTTGGGTCACCTTTCTTCAGAATAGGAACAACTTTAGATCTCTTCCAGTCAATTGGCCAGGTGGTTTTTCTCCAGATTTCTTGGTACACCTTGGTAAGCACATCCAGGACAGTGTCATTTACTTTGGTCAAACTGTGCAAGGTATTGGGTATTACCTTTTCCATCATCAAAATTAACAAGCATCTACTATGTAAAAAGTAATTTCCTTTCATCTTCCTCATAGACTAGTAACCACCAAGAAATAGTGCTCTCTGTAGGTACCTATTTTTCCCCCCCATAACAGTGAGATAGGTCAATATTTGCCTGTTTATGATTAATTTATTCCATTTAACATAATGTCTTCCAGATTCATTCATGTTATGCTTTGATATTTTATCATTATTTTTTATAAATATATAGTATCCCATGGTATGTGGAATGGGATTTGTTTAATCCATTCATCCATTGTCTTTACCCCGTGTATAGGTCATATAGGTTGTTTGCATCTTTTTGCTATAGTGAATAATAATATAATGAATGTTGTTATTGTTGTGTACCATCGAGTCACAACCAACCTGTAGCTGACCATCCAGGAGGGTTTTAGAGGCAGTTAATCGCACAAAAGGTGATTTGTTATCTTTCTCCTGCGAAGCAGCTGGTGGATTTGAACTAGGTGACTTCGGGATTGCAGCACATGTCACTACTGTTAGATCTCTAGGATATATACTTAAAAGTAAAATTGTAGGATGAAAATGTATATTGAGTGTTTATGGCTTAATGAAGTTTTTGTTGTTGTTGTTAAGTTGTTAAGTGCCGTTGTAGAGTTGTAGGCGACTCATAGAGACCCTATGAAAGACCTGGACACTTGTATAATTTCATCTTTTTCCAGGTTCACAGGGTTTCTGGAGGCAAGCTATTATGGAAGTGGATGCCCCTCCTGCTTCCAAACTTGTTTTTATCTGGGAGCTCCACCAAACATTGTCTGCGATGGGTAACCATTAAAGCATTTGACACATTAGTGTCACAGTGTTCAGACAGACCAGGACTAAATGACCTAGAAGAATGTTTGAACAAAAACAATTAAAAACAGGCCTGAGGGCCAAGGATTAGAGTCACCCACCTTGGTAACCACAAAGTGGGAAGTGTGAGGTGGTGGCTCAGAGAAAGATTTGACAACATATTTTTAGAAAATCAGCCAAGAAAACCTCATGGAGCATAGTTCTACTCTGACGCACAGGGGATCACCATGAGTCAGAATCCACTCAGTGACAATTGGTTCCCCACCCCCCCCTTAAAAGATTGTCCATTCTAGAATTGCTAAGAGGAAACGCTATCCTGAAAGTATGCCCACAAACACAGCCTCCTTAGACTCTACTGCCTCCCAGAGGTTGATTCATTTAACTGCCAACGTTATATTTTCTTAGCTTAAGCATGCAGAGAAAGATTTTAAGTGTGATTTCCATACTTAATTTGCGTTCTACTTGTAAAATGAGACCTCCTTAATTTCCTTTTCTGGTTGCTCCTTTCATTTGAAACAAATGAAATTACTAAAAGAAATGTTACTATGAAAACAATAGTTACAATTTGTGAATGTGTGAAGTGTTTTATCCTCAAATAATCTGAGACTGAATGACCTCATCTAGTTTGGGCACCACACCTAGTTACTGAGAAACTTTAGGCAGCATTTAACTGAAAATGCTAATTTTCTAGTTGAGTTCATTTCCTCCCAGGCCCTACTTCTGGCTTTTATTATGAAAATTTTAAAACATACTACTTGCATTCAGTATTTCTTTCATTTTGCCATACTTTAGAATTTATCTTCCCCGCCCCCCTGAATTCTTTGAAAGTGAATTGTAAACATGTTGTGTGCTATTGAATGAGTTCCGACTCCTAGCAGTGTTGTAAGACAGAAAACTGCCCCATAGGATTTTCAGGGCTGTCATCTCTATAGAAACAGCCACCTCTGTCTCCCATGAAGTGGTTGGTGGGTTTGAACCACCAACCGTTCGTTTAACAGAACATTTACCCATTGACCCACCAGTCAATCCTTCATATTTTTGCACATAACTCATAAAAACTACTAAATACTTCTGTGTCTATCTTCTAAAAAGAATATTTTAAGTGATCTTAAAATAAATTTAAGTAAACTTAATAAATTTAAGTAAACAATATTTTAATTGTGTTAAGTTATAATATTAACACACCTAAATCACTAAATCATTTATTATTAAATACTAACAATAAGCACTCACTCATTGCCACTGAGTCAGAACCAACAGACAGAGAAGCACTGCCTTTACGTCAGCAGCGCAGGGCTCACAGAGGATATCACCACATCTCCATTAATAACAACAACTCCATTTAACACCTGTTGTTGTTGTTATGTGCTGTCGAGTTGCTTGTGACTCATAGCGACCCTATGTACAACAGCCCTAAACTCTGCTCTGTCCTGTGCCAATCGC